GATTAATATAAACATTAATAATAATTGAAATATTTTATCATATACGTTAAGTTTTTTTTTTTCATTTTACATTTTTATATTATATTTAAATAGTTGTGTATCCACGCAATGAGGCGGGAGCCATGAATTTTAACGATTTTGAAGTTCCACTGGTTTTATAAGATAAGATTTAACGATGATATATGTTACACTTGGTCTTTACATATTAATACAATTTGAATAAATAAGAGTTATGGTTCCAATTACAGACTATCGATGAAAAAAATTGTATGACAGTTTAAAATCCAATATATATTTAAAATCCAATATATTTAAACAACTCCACAAATGTGTTCGATTTACACCAAGAACAAAGAACCAAGAAACTTGAGTTTTAAGATAAACACTCAAAACCAATAAAGAAAACTACAAATTTGACAGATCATAAGCCATGAAAAGACAAAAAAAGATGGGTTTTAGAATAAAATTTCAACTGCTTAGCTTCTTTCTTGTACAGAAACTCAGATTAAGGTTGAATTAATACATGTATATATATATATATATATATATTTCAAAAAAACCCAAGAACATATTAATTCATAACATATTATACAGTGCAGTTTGGACAGTCTAATCCCAAAATATGTAGTATATATATATATATATATATATATATAATTATAAAAGTATAAATCGTAAATATTAAAAATATTTTTTATAGTATATATAATATATAATAATATAATTAAGTCAAACACTATTCAATATTAGACTCATTTCGAAGGTATTAACGAGACGATTATAATGGTGTAACTTGTTAAAATAAAAATATATTTTTAAACATGTTTTAATTGATATACGATTATGTATATTAATAAAATAAAAGTTTAAAATGAAACATTTAAAAGTAAAAAACGTAAAGTAAATTAATTAACTAATTATAAGGGTATAAAGTGCAAATTTGAAATTATAATTTAAAAAAAAAATCGGTTGTAGTGTATGTGAGGAGAGGAGGGAGTGAAAAAGTGATATAAAAGGTATCTTGATCATTTAGAATTTTAAGACTTTAATACTTTTATTAAATTTGCTTTATAAGATAATATAGATTAATATATAATTATTAATAAATTATATTTTTATGGTACGTTG